GAGTACACAATGTACTCGCGAGAGTTACCCGACTAGTGGGAATAATTTTCTGACTCCAAAGGATATGATAAGCTTTATGGTTTGTCGGGTTTCCTTTTTGCGAAAAGCATTACTAGTAGTGAATCCTTATGTATGTGTTTTATTAGCAGTCATGATTAGTTCATTAGCTAACCATTCTATGTAAGCACCTGTTCTACTTTCAAGCAAGAGTTGAGCAATCAGATCCATTCATTCCCTTTCATCTTTAGTTCTTACTACGGTGCTAGACCATAGCCAAGTCATACCGTATCACATGGCGATTCAAGAACTAATGTATCCTAGCTAGGTACCCTGAAATACATGCCTCGCTTGTATCCCAGGCACAAGCAAGACCAACCCACCACTCTCCTGTCAAGGGGTCTAGGTCCCCATACAAACCTAGACTCTAAACCTCTACTCCCGAGTCCCAGACTCACTGTGGTGCTTAGAGCTCCACCATCCCCGCTTCCAATCAGTCGGTCCAGAAAGAGACAGAACCCACGACAAGAGAGCAACGAGCCTTCCCGCTCCTATAAGCAAGTATGTGCTCAGGATAATAAGTCTGTGACCTGACTACCATCCACAGCAACGGACGGTCCTTAACCGACATGAACAGGGAAAATAGTGTAACCAAGCTATGCCCCGTTGGCCGTAGGACACAACCTATTACACCCACCAATACCCATACCATATCCCTGCCCGGTCTCCATTTCCTTTCACCATTTTATCATGAGAGTAATAATAATAATCACCTATTGTGAGTAACAGCAGGTTACTCATGCTACATATAACCTAAGTATAGCAGCTACTCGACTTATGCTAGTAGGACTCATAGGTAGGTTTATTTATGCATGTAGTTTCAATATAAATCCTGTAACGTAAATGCACATCACATATATATCCAGTGATTATTCAAAATAAGGGTTATGCACCGGGGCTTGCCTTGGGTAGGCGGATTGTCAGCTATGTCAGTCGTTAGTGGTTGTGGGGCTTCCTCCTGTATGAGAACCTCCTCCTCCTACTCCTCGTACTCCTGCTCTCCGGAGGTCATGAACTCCACCAACTCATTCTCTACATGCATGCAATGATGATGCAACACTTAGTATTTTGGCAACAGCAACTCTTAAAATAAGAATACACATGCTAAGTTACTAAGCTAGCTCTAATGACTAAGATACTAAGCTAATCATTATCTCTACCAAATAGATTTCAAGCTCACCCTACAAGTCCTTAACTTTTATAAACCAATATCATGCCATTATTCCTTTAGCCTTAATGAGTATTTAGCTACCATATTAAGTAGTCTATTCTAGGGCTACAAAAATTACAGTAACACATAATAATACAATGAAGCTACTATAAAAATTTTAAGGTTTTTTCTATCACCAATCTACCACAAAAATTCCTACAATTATTAATCAAAATAATACTAAGCATCTCAACTATTTTAATGCTCCTTAGCAACCACATAGATATGTATGAACTAACTATACTAACAGATACACAATGTTTTTGGAAACCTAACAAAATTAGTTTCACAATTTTTGGATATCTTCATTATTTTATATTAATTATCAAAGTTCAGCTCAGAATTAAAATGAAAAGCTATTTCTATTTTCCCAGAAAAAAATAAACCGATTTCGGCCCAACGCGGCCCACGCGCGGAGGCGGCCCGCGGCGGGGAGCCTGCGCACGTGCTGGCACTCTTGCAAAAATGCCCTCGCGTTATCAGACAATAGCGCGAACACTACACGTACTATTTCTATAGACAACGACTTTGCAACGGAGCCCTCGTATCTTTTCACCTTCGCACCGGAGAGGTCCCCGAGATGCCCCGCGCTCGCTGGCGCGGTGGACGGTGGCACTAGGTGGTACGCCAGCCACTCGAGGCTCGCACTGACCCAACTAACGAGCCGAACCCCATCTACGACCCTAACGCCTACCCTAAGCGGTGATACGGAGCAACAGGGTGCACTAGAGCGAGCTACCACCGCGTGTGGTCGCCCACGATGGCATCGTGGTCATCCTGATGAGCTACAGCGCTAACAGGATGGTAGAGATAGGGGATAAGCACCAGGGGCACACCGTGAAACCGGCCGAAGTGGTGGTTGGGCCGGCGACTACCTGAGCAGGGCTGGCCGCGTGCGCGCAACGAGCACGGCGACAAGCCACGGTGGACACGGCCGCATTAGTTGTGGCCGGGAGGTGGTAGCGTTCCCACTGGCATGCGCATGGTGGAGAGGGAGCCAAGACGAGCTAGTGGTGCAGAGGAATTTGCGCGGGGTGAAGCGGTGGAGGCTGGCCATGGCGCGGCGGTGATGGGTCTTAACGGCGCGGTGGCGGGGCGAAGCTCCAAAATTGAGGCTCGGCTGAGCCGCAATCAAAGCGGGGTGGGGGCGACTAGAGAGGGGACATGAGGGCGGAGACGTGGACAAGAGGGATTGATGAGAGGTGACCCCTCATAGCTACGGCGCCGGTGCAATTCGACAGCGGCAGGGAGACGAGAACAGAGAGAGCGCGAGGGAGCGGTGGGGGAGGGGCAGCCAGCGACTTGGCAAGGGTGTGCCTTGGCAGGACACGGTTGGCGCGACCGGCATAGCCCATGGCTAGGTACTAGCCGACAGACACGCACACTCGCGACCGGTGTGGCCCGCGCGCCGCAGTGCCATCAATGGCAAGGCGACAGCGACACGACCACGTGCGCGCAGTGTCAAGGCAGGCAAGCGGCGCAGCGTAGTTGCAGGCGCGCAACATGGTGATGCGATGGTGGTGGCAACGGCGTCGTCGCGACGCGAGCGCAAAGCCAGCAGCAGCACCAGCGGCAGCCACGATGGCAGGGGTGGTCAGGCGTAGAGTGGACCGACGGCCTAGCGGTACAGCCAGAGCGCCCAAGTCATGGCAAGGCCACGCGCGCGCGCGCACGGCACAACCGCCTGGCCACGTGGGTCGGCCACGCGTGGTGACCATGTGCACGGCGCCAGATAGCACAAAGCTATGACGTGCACGAATTTTAAAGCACTGATCACGACCAAATCGTTGCTCCTAAACCTAAACCTAAACCGGCTTTACTACACTCACGATGGCATATGGAACTACTAAATTGAATCATGGCACTACACTACTCGTTAACCCGATCTCTCTAAATAAATTGCTAAACATAGCAGTGTCTAGCTATCCACATACTTAGAAATGTTCTAAGCGTTTGAGCTAATCTTAATTTCATATTGCATTTCTAAGCTACTGAAAATATTACTTAGCAATATTCTTTTTCAACAACAAGTATTTCATTGTCATCTACAAGTTTGCACTTCCAACTTTATTTAAGTATCACACACATGTTCTATAGTATTTTTGCTTAATAAAAATTAGTTTTAAACCATACTTGATATGCATGAACCATCGAACCAACTTTCGTTTAACATTTTTATTGATCGTTTTGAGTTACAGAAATTGATCTACACACTTCACCACATGCATTAACACACAAGTATGATGCTCATGACATGTTTTAGTAGATGATTAACGGGGTAACACCGAGGGTGTTACACCCAGAGGGTCATCCTTGCCATCGTAGATGGGGAAGGAGAGTTTGTGATAGTGTGGCACGGCCATGGCCTCCGGCTCTGGCGGCACATGAGGAAGGGGAGGCGGCATGTGCATGGTGGCGGCAGACGTTGGAAGTGGTGCTTGCATGATGGAGGAAAAGGATGGCACGGGGGATGGTGAGTGTGGAAAGTTGATCTAGGTGATGGGTACGCCCATGGATGGCGGTCCCGGCTGGGTGGACATGGCCATGGATGCTGGCATGGGTGGGCTTGACGCCTGAATGGAAGGCATCACTGGCGGCGCGAAGGAAATCTCCGAGATGACCGGCGAGGCCGGGCCGAAGCTCTGAGAATGTCCCCATAGCTGTGCAAGTCGCATGCACGAGAACGATGGCGCGGACGCAGACGCAGGCGATTTTTCGGACGGCCGCCAGACGTGAGGAGATGTCGCCCATTTGGCGTTGCATGCCGTAGATGGCCACGGTGAGGGCGTTGAGGGCATCAGTGGGGATAGCGGTGAGCTGTGGGGCGGAACGGGGGTGGTGCAGTGGAAATGAAGGCCGAGCTGGTGAAGGCGGGGGCAGATGGGATCACGGGGGCGGTGGTGGGAACGACGGATTGTTGGAGCTTAGGGAACGTAGGGCATAGGAGTGGAAGGTGGCTGGCCTGGGTTTGAATCCCCGGCGGCGGTTTGGCGGTGCCGTGCTCGACGCCTGGTGTGAACATGAACGAGAGAGAGACAGAGAGCAACAATGCCAAAGAGCAAGAGAGATAAACTCAAATCTCTGGCTAACCTTCTCATTAAACAAATGTTTAGCCTTATAGGCAAATCCAACATACTGCTAACAAACTCCTGAAAATACTCTAGTGATCTAACAAACCAAATGATCTAACAACCCAACTAAACTGATCCTGGAAAAGTGGCACCGAGACCCATAGTGATCGCGCCCGGTGATGCACAGTGGCAGGTGCGCACAGACTCCACGTCGCCCGTCGGCACAAGCACCATAACATATACTTTAAGGCGTCCACATCATAGGAGAGCATATTTATTGCGATATATTTCAAAAATAGAGAAGAAATAGTAGAGAGTTCAAAGTCTTTTGGAGAAGCTGCACATGTTATTTATAGGGTTATACTTTGACTTCGTACTTGGACTATTCTACAAAAGTCTCGCATATAAAGGGTTTTATTGTGGTGACTTTGCAGCATTTCGCACCAGCAGCCAAGGTTATTTTTTCCAGCACATGGCTCGTCTCCTAATCTCATCTTTATTTTGTGTGTGGTACTATTATTCTTTGTGGTTGTATGCTTTATTCTAAGCAGAGATTAGAAGTACTTTTGTAAGACTTTATATCATCTCGATATAATGTTATTGAAAAGTTAATAAAAGCTCCCTTTATAAAGAAACAAAATAAAATTTCTCCTCTTTGAATCTCAGGATCTTAGCACATAGAGTAGATACAAAATGGAGCAAAGTATAGTGGTAGCAAAGATGGTAAGGACAACATTGATTATGTCAAGCTGGAATATTTTGGGCATCTTTTTCTGTAGGGCCACTCTCTCTTCAACAACTTCGTCTTGTTCATGAGGGTGTGTATTTTGTGGGGCAACTTCCGCTTCAACAATTTCTTGTTGTGGAGGTTGTGCATTTTGTGGGGCCACTGTTGCTTGAACAATTTCATCTTGCTGGGAGGGGTGTGCATTTTGTTGGTCTGCTGCTTCAACGATTTCATCTTGTTGATGAGGAGGGTGCACATTTTGTGGAGCCACATCTGCTATAACAATTCTGTCTTGTTGTAGTTCCCATGTGTCATCCATATTGACTACTTTACCCTTTGTGAAGCCTTGGAGCTTATCCTCGATCATAGTCTTAGTTCTGGTATCAACCTCCAACCTCATTAGTGTTGTTGACTCTTGAAGAATGAGAGGAATGACTACCAAATTTATGCATCCCAATAACCTGAGTATCTGAAGTTGCGGCAGATCGTGGCTCTGTAGATCAGACCATGTATGCAGAGCTTTCATGTCACCAATGAAAAGCTGCTGGAGCCTGCGAAATGCTACCTTGCCCTGCAGATCACCCCTAAACTCCATTCCAAGTGAGCATAAATTGTCAAAGCCTGTCACAGCTAGAAACTTGAGCTGTGGCAGCTCTCCCAATGAAGGGAGTTTCTTGCACCATACACAGTTTTGGAGGTGGAGTCCATGGAGGTTTGAGAGCGTCAATATCCATGAAGGGTACTGCTTCCCATAGTAGTTCTGAATTTTGAGATGCACTAGGCGTTTGTGAGGGACAAATCTGTCGAGAACTTGCCTTCTTTTGTCTATTGTGTCGTCTGGCACCAATGGAGGGTCAACATTAATGTAACATAGCTCAAGCTCCTTGAGCTGATACTTTTTAATTGGCCATTTATTTTCAGGTGGAGGTTCCAGTATTTCCTCTAGCCCATCAATACGAAGAATATCAAGTTTCTTCGGAAATTTAAGATCCAGTGACTGTAGCGAACCAATATTATCTCCTATGGGGAAGCCTTGCATAGAGATAAGCTCTTCCATGCCAGAAAAGCTCCAGTTTATATCCTTGATACCAGTACCAGAAATGTCAAGGCACCTCAAATATCTTAGCTGCCTTATGCCCTTTGGAAGTGTCTGTATTTCTGAGCAGTTCCTGAGGAGCAAATACTGGAGCATCCTTAGGTATACTATGCTCCTAGGGACTTTTCTTATATTTGTTTCAGAAATATTCAAGTATCGAAGATGCTCTAGGCTTCCTATAGAAATAGGTAGAGCCCTAATACCTTGCACTTCACGTAGGTCAAGCACTCTTAAAAGATTTAGTTGTTTGAACATGTCCACTTGAATGCCATCTGGTATTGTGCTCTTATGAAGTACTAGTGTCCTCAGGTACTTCATCCTTCTTAGTCCATGCAGCGATACGCTTTCTCCAGTGTTTGCCTCTCTTCTGGCTTCATTATTATTTCTGTGGTTATTATTTGCCGTGTTGTCATTGATATTTTCTTCTGCTCCTATGATCTCACCACTGTCACCATTTTCATTTTCATTGCCATCATCATTGTGATCCTTAAACTCATTGTTTTCAACTATTGATAGTCGTCGTACTTCAAAAAGATTTGTTATAGAAACTGATTCATTGCAGAAGTTTTCATAATCAGACACATCCTTCGCAAAGGAGCGGATCATGATAGGCATCTTCGCTCCTATGGCACCAGCATTCCCAAACTCAAGATGGAGGAGACCTCTTCCAATCAACTCATCAAAATAATACTCCGCAACCTCTTCCATGGTGAGTTTTCTCTTCTCCACAATGAAGCCCTCAGAGATCCATTGTTGTATAATGTACTGTTTCTCGATGAAGAAATTTTCAGGAAAGACTGAACAGTAAAGAAAGCACTGCCTCATGTAAGATGGCAAATTCTGAAAACTCAAGTTGATCATGTATTGTTCCTCTGGTGAAAGGTCCTGAAATGCAGTCCGGTAGACAGTCTCCCAGTCATGCCTTGTCGGCTCATGGCCCCTTAGAGTCCGCCCTATACTCCTGATGGCAAGCGGGAGACCATCACATTTCTTGACTATCTGTTGCCCAATGTCCTTTAAGTCTGCTTCGTCATTCTCACTAATCGAAGCTCTTCGAAACAGCAAGCTCAAAGCATCAATGTTGTTCATCCTTTTGACATAATGGATATGACCAGCCCCGATTCTTTTAGCAATATGCTTATTTCTGGTAATTACTATCACTCTACTGCTTTCACTGTTGCCCTGCTGCAGAGGACCCTCCAACAACGCCTCCCAAACATTTTCTGTCCAGATAGAATCAACTACTAGCAAGAATTTCTTATTAGCTATTTCAGCCCCCAGGTTCTGTAGTTGAGCTTTAGTTGGTCCTTCCTTACGACGATCTGACCACATTATTAGTGAACTCAAATCAATGGAGAAACGTATCCATAATTTTTTCTCAAAGTGATGAGTGTTACCATCACCAACCTTGACTCTGTGATATATCCTCCGAGCAAGAGTAGTCTTGCCAATTCCAACCATTCCAACTATCGCAATAAGACGACATCTTTTCTTGGAACTATGTAATAACTCAATTATATCACTAGCATCGCTGTCAACATAGTCACCAATAATATCAGCATTGCAGTCAGGTGCTGTCTTTCCATATGATCGAATTGCGTGCTGGTTTGTCTTGGTCTCAACTGGAAGCTTCAGTATGCTCTCAAAATCCACATTCAACTCCTTTATGGCGGCAGCAACTTTTATGAGACCAGAATGATCACCACAGCTAATCGTCCTTCTGAGAGATCCCTGCACAACAAATGAAGAGACAATTATTTCAAATATTTAATCATGCCTTTGAATTGAGTATCTTCCTTTTAAAAGTCACACACGATCAACATGGAGACGAGTTTTGAGTTTTGATAGAGAGAGAAAATAAAACACTTATGAAACACATATTGCTTAGGCACGCTAGTCCCCAAAAATGAAGTCCATCCACCTAATGCCTCATGAATTGATATCTTACTATTACTAATCGAAGGCCTAAATAGAGCTTCTATGTTAATCATCATGGGACGCACTAGAAATAAGATAAATTCTAGAAAGTCTCACGAAAACAAGAAACATACATATAGCGAAACATATAGAGTAATAATTCATAAATTTACCATAAGCGGATAGAGACTATAGAGTATCTATTGGGACATTCAAGGTGTTTGGTTCAGTTAGTGATAACGTAAATGGAAATGGAATCAAACATATGTAACGGTAATGCATACCCTCTAGTAACGTACTCATCATAATACCTTCCAGATCAGTCATAAACCATGCTTTATAAATTAAGGAAATAAAAATGAACTAAAAACGACAATTTTCCATTGTGAATGATTAGGGCCGCTCCTTTCTTTGATGACCTTACATTTCAAACCAGTGCAACAACAGAAGTGTTTAACATAGTATGGCTGAACGGGTCTTCAGATTTGGGTAACATTTCGATAACATTGTAGATCTCACCAAAGTTTCAAATCTGTAGTCGATCAGATAAATGCATTGCCAGCAATTTGAAATCCATTTAAAGTTTTAAACCTGGTTGTGGAATACGAAATGAAATGAAATCTATAAAAGACAAAAGAGAACAGAGCAACATACCCTGGGCTTGTCGTTCTTGATGATCCATTGGTCGACGACGTTCTCGACCTGGTACATGTGGTCCTTGACCCGCTTGAGCCAGTACCTGCCCACCTCGTCGTCCAGCATCACCTTGCGCTCCGCCGACTCCATCATCAGCGCCACCCGCTCGTAGTTCTTCTTGAGCCTGTTGACGTCGCCCTTGACGGCCCGATGCTCGCTGATCTCCGCCAACACCAAGTTGCCCACGAACATGGTGAGGCTGGAGGCCATGGAGGCTAAGGCCGAGTCCGGGATCATCGATCTATCTCGGTCTCAGACTCTCAGGTCCCTAGCTGCTTTGCCTGATCGGTCAGGAGGTCGTCATTATATTCAATTCAGGTTGAGTGCTGCTAGCAGGATGCACATCTCGGAGAGAAACGCATGCAGTGCATTGATACCTCACTGGGCGACGGCGATGTCGTCTCGACGGCGCTGCCTTGCTTTGGCGGGGGAAGAACTGCTATGGATGAGAGAGAGAGAGAGAGAGAGAGGGGGGGGCAGATTTAGGTACAAAAAACACTGGACAGTACAGCGAGATGGTTTATTCTGATTTCTGACAGACGACTTAAGCAAGACATGTGATGATTAGTTCATTTCTTGATCGGTACTAGTAGTCATATGACTTGGTCTCTCTGGCTCTAGTCAGATTGGTGATGAGAGTAGTTAGATCCAATCTAGTTGACTTCGACAGGTCATCCACCCTCTGCCGGTATCCCAGTTTTAGTGAATTTCTTCTTTTTCTATGCTCAATCAAGATGATCCAACGTGCTTTCCACTCCTACGTCTTGTGGTCATGCATGCCCCAAAAGTGTCATACTGTTATATCATCTTATTTCTACACAGTTTTGATTTGTTTTTTGAAGTCAAATAGTTTGAAGTTATTCTAAATAATTTTCTATATAAATTAAGTTTTTTTCTTTTCAATTTTGACAGATTTTTCCTCCTATTACTGATAGATTTCCGACATTCCTGTTTATTAGTTGCCACCGATATTTTTAAAATATCAATGATGTAAACCTTGGTTGGAGGTCAACTAGCTAGAATTAGCATCACATCCTACGAAGTACTCCCTCTATCTCTTTTTTACATGTTGCATTAGTTTTGTGCTAAGTTAAACATTTGTATTTTTTACTATCGATTTTTTTTTAAAAATATATATAAGTTCATGACATAAGGTTTATGTTTTAAGGTTTACCAAGATAAATACTTTCATAATATATAATTTATATGTTGTGAAAAATATATAGGGTGCGTTTAGTTTCTTGGCTTGTTTGTAGCTTGCTAGGTTTTAAGTCTGGCTAGGCTTAGTATGCTCCCACCCAATCCTAGTTGTTTGGTTATTTGTACTATTTAAGCCTGGCTAATAAACGGTGTGTTTAGTTGATTTGGTTTGTATGCGATCACCTCTTCTTCCAACGGTAAGGCTACCCTTTGAGGAATTTCAGCGAACAGATGGTGGGCGTCCCGAGCACGGCAGAAGCTGGGCAAGCACGGCAGCGGCAGCGCACGTGGAGAACGAGACGGGGAGAGAGAGGACTACGAGGCCGCGCGCTTGTCGTCCGCAGCACGCCTCCGCTTCCGCTCCGCAGTAGCACGCCGGGGTGGCCTGGCCGCTGCCGCTCAGCCGCTGGCACCGGGAGGAGCAGGTGCATACAGGTAGGAGTACCAGCCAGCACCGGGAGGAGGGGTGGACCGATGGAGCTGCTGAGGCCAAAGGGGTGACGCGGGCCGGGGGTGAGCACCGATAGCAGCAGCCGGGTTTCTCCGAGACGACGGCGATATGGTCGTACTGTATTCGTGCCGGCCTTTTCTTCCTCCCAGCCCGTCCGTCCGTCCGCTGAAGCTAAGGACGCCACCGCAACGGCATCACATCGCGTACCGGTGCCTGATGGAGACGCGCGGCCGGGAGGAGGGAGACGCTTGTGTCGCGGAGACGACGGATTAGTCGAAAGCCGTCGGAGGAATCGAAGCTGGTGGCTGCGGAGCGACCCACGGGGAGGAGGAGGAGGAGCACGTGACCCCGGCGACCCCGGCCTCCTCCAGGATCCACGAGATCCATGCGCGAGGTTGCCGAGGGCGTCGTGAGGGCCGGCGGTGGGCGCTCACGGCAGCAGCGCGGGCGCGGAGGGCCGTTGGTGGAGCACGGCGCTCGCGGCAGCGAGGTAGGGCGGCGCTCGTGCTGCCAGCATCGGAGGCGGAAGACTACGCGGAGGGAGGTGACGGGAACGGGACCTGCGCCTGGCCAACCCTGCCTCTGGAAAAACGGCCGCAGCTGGCGTTCTTTCGGAGCCAGGCCCTGAGCGTACGGACAGCCAGGCTACATCCCATTTGGAGCCGGATTCAGTAACTTCGCTCTGTAAAGTTACGTCGTAACTTTTCGTTCATCTGGTGCGTCCATTTAACATCTAACGCATCTAGTGATTTCTAGCATAAACAATTCCCAAACTTGGCCATTTCAGCCTGCTGGACGTGCGCGGACGCGTGCTGGCGGCAGCAGACCGCGGAGGTGAGCATGTCGACGCGGAAGAGCATGGCCCCTTGCCGGCGAGGTCTTGCACTGCGTCTGAGATGGTGGCGCCCATCTCCTCCACGGCGGCGAGTAGCATGCCTGTCCCCATCTCCTCCCACTCCTCCGGGACGACGCGACGCCGGAGAGATCGACTTCTGCGCGGGACTCCATCTTCTGGGACAACTCAATTCCGCCTTTCTCCGGAAGGGCCGATGACGGCGACATGCGGGAGGGTTGCGCGACGAGCCTGCACGCTTGGGAGGGCTAGTGTGGTAAGTGTGGCACGAGACTTCTGCGGCGGCGCGCGGTTGTCGTGCAGCTCGAGCAGCGCGCTCGGCGCGTGGCGAGGACTCCGTGTGAAGGTTTTTGGACGTCGGATGGCGAGCGCGGTGTTGAGCAGGGCGAGGGTGCGCGGGAGCGCGAACACCGGGTTGAACGTGAAGAAGCGGCGGAGGCGGGAGTGGCTCTGGAAGCAGCGTGCGGCCATGCCCACGGCCTTGTGGAGCGCCCCCTCCGTGTCGACCTTGACGTGCGTGGCAGGGCACTCGTTCAGCTCGGCCCGCGTCGCCTGCTGCAGGAGCTCGACGAGCTTCTTGGCGCGGGACAGCAGCTCCGTGCAGTCCGTCAGGAGGCCGATGCATCCCAAGTGCGGCTCCCAGCCGCCCACCACGACGCTCCCGCATCTCCCGCGACGGCTCAGTTCCGGTCATCCGCGACAGCGAGTAGCGCAGCATCCGCAAGGCTGCACGCACGCCCGCGATGGTGGTGCCGGTGGGGGCGATGCGCGCGGCTCCTGGCACCCGCGGCCGTCCGTGCCCGCGATGGCGACGGGCGACGGCGCTCCCTGCCGGCTCTGCCGCGAGTTCGGCCGCTTTCGTGCGCTAAGGCCCGCGTCCGTGCGGCCTGCGGGCGTTAAAAGTATTGGAGCCGTCGGATGCTAACTGGAGGATGGAGATTGAAAGAAAGTTACAACGTGACTTTGCTATGTAAAGTTACTGAATCCGGCTCCATCCCATTTACACCCGATCAATCAGGCTAGGCATCGGACACCCAACCAAACACACTCTCGCAGCCTTGTTCGTCTGGCCGTGACTTGTCGTAAGGATTTTCAAGCATGGTCTGGATTCGTTCGACAGGTAGAAGGCCCAAAGCGGGACAGAAGGGCTTACAGCGCTCTGGGAAAGAAAGGTTCCGCTTTCTCCACTTTAGTTAGAAAATAATTGTTTTTAGGCCTTCGGAAAGTAAACTTTTTAGCCTTCCGAATTGAACGTAACGGGTCAAAATGGAAAAAAGTTACCGGTACGTAATTGAAGATCCGGTGAAAACTAGTCGACCTTTCATCACAAATTGAAGCAGAGGCTGTTAGTTGAAAATCCATTTGCAGATCCCGGAACAGTATTTTTCTCTCACACAAACCAACCAGCAGTACTTCTTCACGAACCAGCAACGAAACGAACCAGCTAACCGAACAGGCTGTCGATTTATACGGTGTGAAATTATAAGAATTTTTTTAAAATTAATGATCAAAAATAGTAATATTTGACTTAGGTCAAAATTAATGTGACATGTAAAAATAAAATAAAACAGAAAAAAAATATGTGAACTATTTTATACTGACCCATCCATCAAAAGACACTATTAATATGCTTCATGTGATCTGGATCCAACCAACCAAATGAGACCTTGGGCAGCATGTTTGGTTTGCGATCAAAATTTGGCATGCAAAAGATTTGGCAGTCAAAGGTTGGGTAAAAAATTACCACAGATTTGGCAAGCCAAATGTGAGGTTAACAAATTTTGATAGCAAACCAAATACTACCTAAAATCATAACTTGTCGAATCTTTAGCTTGTTAAATTTTGAAAATGATCGGGCCCTAGACCCACCTCAATCGCCCTCCACCGATCGATCCTTCTCGCCACACCGGCCTAGCTAGCTGCCACAACTGATGCCCGAACTCAACTTCATATGCCTTACTATTTCATCGACGCCGCCTAAGCACTGTCAGAGCCGTGGCTCTCCTTCCTCGTGAATTCCTGTTGCATTTGTCATGGTGCCACTAGCGCGGCTGTTGCTGCTAATTAGTAGTACTGTTCTTCTGTGTGGTGCCGTGGCCACTAGCCCATAACGTCTCCATCGCTATTACAAATCACATGTTGGGTGGGTTGATGATTTGGAGCCTAGCAAAAACAAACACACACACACAAGCCCAGTGTATTTGTGCACCGTTTGGTAGGTGTTTGAATCAATATAGTTTCAGATAGCCTCTTGACCGAGGAGTAAAAAGCTCAAAAACCTAGCCTCTATTGCACCCTCCGTCACAAAAATAGAGTCGCTGTGGGAATCGTGCTGGTCAAACTTTCTCAATTTTGATTAAGTTTGTAGAAAATACGTGCAACATTTATATCTTCAAATAAGTTTACTATGAAAGTATATTCAACGATCTACCTAATAATACTAATTATATACCATAAATATTAATATTTTATTAAATATATTTGATCAAAGTTAAAAGTTGTTGACTTTTTGGTAAGCAAGAATGACTCTTTTTCTGGGACAGAGGGAGTATGTAGTAGCTGCCATTGGATAAGAGGAGACCATAACACAGCACAACATGAGAAAGGGGGTAAGGACTAAGGACAAAGAGAATGAGAAGGAAATGTATCCAAATTTGGTGGCTCTACACTTGTCATCTTTATTAAGCTTGTAATCGAAGACTTAAA